AGTGTCTTTTTGGTAGTACAAAACGTCAGGTTAATTTCAATATTGTAACTTTTTTAATGCTTGTGAAAAAAATTGTTATACAAATTTTATGTACCCCCTTTAAGGGGCTGTATCTTAACAAGGGATGCTCCAATGAAATGGAGTCCATCAAAAAAAAATTTCAACAAGATTATCTGCAGAAGTTGACGTGAAACAGTTCTAAGATAAAGCCGATCGCTTATTTGACGTTAAAGGAAGAATAATTATGATTTCGAACGGCAATAATTGAAGTTCAGAGGAGTACAACAAAGTTGAATACTACTGCAGAGAAGGAATGATAGGACAAAAATGCAGATTCAAGATATTCACCAAAAAGACAATAACTTATGTAGGTTATCAATCAATCGAATACTCTGTAGTATTAACGAGAAGAACAAGAGGAATTTCTATGCTCCTGAAATCGACCTCCTGTCGAAAATGAAGTCTATTTGTAGTCTCAGCCCTGACGCTTTACACAATTTCTTGAGTAATTGTTGCACACGCAACTCTTGAATAGAATGACACTGAAACCTGTACACTTTAGATATTAGGGAATCCGATAAAAAAATCTCAAGATCTGGTGATCTTGTAGGTCATTCCACAAATCCTCAGAGGTCAATCCATCGTCATTCATAAGCATTATTCAAATAGTTCCTCACATCAACTGCAAAATGAGGAGGAACTCCACCTCGTTATAAAATAATTGCCATTTCAAACTTTTCTATAGTATTTTCGACAGTTTTCACTATCTATTTATCTATCACTGTTCCTGGCATTTTCCAATAAAGAATACCAGTCAGAATAAAAATGTGCAGTCACATCCAAGCATATGGAAAATAATTAAGAGTTGACTCCGTATTATAATTCTGTGGATTTGTGCACTACGTCAATTCCCAACTTCACCTGAATTCCAAATGTTCTGGGGTGTTCTGGAAATTTCTAGAAGGTGAAACTTCCAGCTCCTATATTTCCCATTTCTGCTTTCCTTTCAAGCCATGATCATCAAGAATAAAATATATATCTTTGCCGCAAAGTATTCTAATTGAAGTTTCCCACGGCCGAACACTTTTGTTACGGGGCACACTGGACTTTCGAAAGGTCCATAATCAACTGAACATTTCATTTTTTTCATGATCATGTTGATTATCTTGATACAAGGAAAGTAAAAGAATAGGAAACCACAGACATATTTTCTTGAAGGAATTATAAGTTTCTAACAAAGTTTTGCAAAGTATACATTTGTAAATTTTCCATGAAGAATTATTTTTTATTTTTTCGTAATGTAAATCATTGTCTAATTGTCGAAAGACATTTCAGTATGCAATACGAAAAATTTATAAATGTTCCTTGTTCGTTAACGAAAAAGGGCTCTGAAAGGCAAGGTG